ATTGTCGTCCATCCCGTGGACTGAAGGCGTGTGGAATGGTCCCGCCATGACCAAAATCGCAGCCGTCGTCAAAGAGTTGGAAGAACGTGACCTTGACCGAGCATTCCTTGAGCAGCACCGTATACCCGAGGTGAAACGAGTTCATTCGACTGGCACCGACCTTGATCCCCGGCGGCGTTCTTCTGTGGTGCACTGTGCGCTGCTGCCCAGTGGTCAGACAGGGGCATGGGAACACCACTTCTTCCAAGTCTACTGGTGATACCTATCGTAGCCAGTAGACAAGCGCCATTAGACACGCCATCCATTGTTTACAGACTGCCAAATCGGCCCTTGATTGCTTACAGCCTTAGCCTTGGAAATTGCGCACTCATCACCTCGGCCAGACAAAGCGGAACTCTCCCAGAGCGGTCAAATTTGAATGCAGTACAATTAGTGGCTCCGTTGAGCTGCAATACCATAGGAAAGGCTTCGCCTACCAAACGCAGAACCCCTCTCATCGCCCTTGACGACACAGGATCAATGGAAACACCAGCTATTGCGCGACTTGGGGTTGATGTCTTCCTAAATTGGAAGACAACCCACTCTTGAACGCCGGTGCCTGGCCAGATTTTTAAGGAACCCTATCCTAATCCGTGACTGTTTGACGGCATGGCGAATCAGGTAGAAGCAGTGGGCCTTCACACCTTCTCGACGGCATCGCCTCCACTTTCGCAACATGTATTTGAGACGGGACTCTGCTCGTGGGACAGAGGCTCGAGAGGCATCTCTACAATTATATCGAGCATTCAGAATCAGGAGGTTCGATTCCCATTTCTTTCCCGCTGTGGCCATTGAAAGCACAAGAGCAACCAAAGGATTCCTTAGTTCGAACTACCACACATCGGAGTACGCAACGAGCCTGAGGATGCGACTCGTCAACCTGGCAATGTGGCTAGGGCTCGCCCAAGTTGGGATGAGTGCCGCCAGCAAAGGTTTCGATACTTTCTTGGGCTCGATTTTTGATGAACGACTCGATCCGACGATCTACGCACCCCTGGATCACCACCAAATTAGCGACGACCTCTCTGCACTCTGCCAGAATTCGACAAACGGGTCGTTGCTGGTTGCAGCGCGTGTAGCGTCGATCCATGCTGATGAACCCCTGTTTACATATTCTTACTCGACGGATCCGAAGCAGATTGTCGACGCCGACACCGTCTTCCGCGTGGGCAGCATATCCAAACTATTCACTGTCTATACGATACTGGTCTCTCAGGGCCACAGCATCTTCACTCGGTGGATTGGAGACTTGCTCCCGGAATTCGCCACATCCAAACCGCCAAGCGACACTCGCGAGCTTCCAGCAAAATGGTCAGAAGTCACGATTGGGGCACTCGCATCACACTTGGCGGGCATCGCTAGAGACTGTAAGGTCGTCACCTTGCCGCATTATCTGGTCTCTTTTGGCGTACTGACGGCCGCTCTTGTTTTCCTCTAGACAATTTGGGTGACCTGGCAGCGCTCCCCAATAAGCCCAGCGGCCTCCCCAACATCCCGCCGTCCGACCTCCCTGGATGTGCCAATGACAGCCATGTACCGACTTGTTCCCGCTCAGGTTAGACGAACACTCGAAGGCCCTTTTCATAGTTTTGGCTTGCAAACAAACTCATCTGACTGGGACATGACACAGACTTCATGACTACATTGAAGCAGAGAGACGCCGTCTTCGAGACGTTTCACACACCGGCGTATTCGAACAATGCCTTTCGACTGCTCGGATATGTCGTGGAGACGATCACAAACACGAGCTATGCCACTGCCCTTCAACAGTTGGTACTAGACCCGTTAGATCTTAAAATGACCTTTGTACGTCAACCACCGAACGACGTCCGTGGTGCCATTCCTGGAAACACGACTAGCTCCGGCTGGTCCCAGGACTTGGGAGATGAGACACCGTAAGTGAAATGTCGCAGCCGGAGCAACTTGGCAAGCTTTTTCTGACCGTCGGCAGCTCTGGGGGTCTCTACTCGACCGCCAGTGACCTCTGCTCCTTTGGTCTTGCGATCCTGAGCAAGAGGCAGCTCTCATCAGGGGATACGAGGCGCTGGTTGAAACCGTGGACACATACCGCCTCACTATTCCTCTCGGTCGGCGCCCCGTGGGAAATATACCGCGCCGAGGTTTCCGGCCGTGTTGTTGACCTGTACTGTAAATCCGGAAGCACTGGCGCCTACAACTCGTGGCTAATCTTGGTTCCGGATTTTGGCATCGTCATTTCAGAACTGGTCGCCGCGTCCGAGCCGGCCAGCGAGCTGCCTCTCCGCCTGGCTGACGTTGTCACGGCCCACACTCTCCGTACCATCTCTAGTCGCCAAGCGCAGACTCGAGGGCTGCTGGGGTGGTACAGTTCTGCCAACGTCACCAACGCGACGGCAGGCGGCAGCACGTTGGAATTGACACTACCTTCGAATGGGCCAGGTCTCGAGATTCGCAACTGGGTCAGCTACGGCGTTGATTTTCTGCAGGTCGCCAACGACTACTCTCGCGTCTCTGGGAGTGGGACTCTTAAGTCTGTGCGCCTTTATCCCGCCATCATCGACCGGGGTGGCAAAGAGCTGAGGTATCGCGCGGTCTTCCTGACCGAAAGCAGCCCTGAGTCAGGCCTGAGTATTACCCACTCCAAGGGCATCCCTCGTCTCTTTGGTCAAGCTACTGAGGCGTGGGATGATGTGGACCAATTAACGTACGGCGGACAGCCTCTGGACGAGTTTATCTTCAAAGTGGGGCGGGAGAGCCGTGTTGCTAGTGTCCATGTCCCTGGATTGAGAGTTACCATGGCTAAAATGGAGGTTTAGAGCTTTGAAAGACCGCTCCTCGGCGCTATATCTGCGTCTGATCGATCAGTGTCACAGTAGTATCTGTGTTTTGGACAGTCTGTCAAGGCCTCATAACGAGGGATCTGTGCTGTAGTTGTCTTACGCAATGCCACGACAACCTAGTCTCTATAGACAGGAGAATGTCGACGCTGGCAATTGAGGTAGGACAAGATCATTTGATTTCCTCGAAGAGAACAAGACGGGACGCGGCGTATGCGGGCAGTGTTCGACCCGCAAATACTTCTGTCGTCCCTGAGAAATGTCGTCAATTCCTCGTCGAGGCTGTGAAATGGAGTCCAAGGTCTCGAATGAAGATTGCTTCCACCAGTGTTGAACCGACATGATCGACCTCGAGCCTGATTTGGTTCGATTTCGGGGATTGTGGGCATCTGGCTCGGTTTGCGGAGTCTATGAGTGAGAAAGCTTCCGGTCGCGCTATTCCCAATCAGGCATATTCTAGACGACCTGGCAAATCAGAAGCCTCGAGGCCAAGTTCGTTGCCTGCCACCCAGTCCACCCTACCTAGCATGACATACAGGGCTGAGCGAAACACGGGTTTTGTGCCTCTGTACTACTACACCGTGGCGGCGTCTGCGAGATTGACATGAGCAATCCGTTGTGGCGGTGCCAGAAAGCCCCCCATCTTCGACTTCGAGGAGAAGATGGAGGAGGATACAGATGACATATATAAGGAGTGTCAAAGGCACCCTCGCCGTGGACAACTTCTCCCTCATTGAAATCAACACTTCGGAAGCAAGTGTGTCGAGAGAAAAAATTTCACCTTCTCAACCCCCCATCCAGTCTGTAAACCGTCCATGGACAAGGAACACGCCAAGGGAACTCCCCCGAGAGGACAGGACACGCGGAGCTTCGACGCGAAACTAGTCGGTTAGTACCTCGTGTCTTGATAGAATGTCCAAAAAATCATCGTGGCTGATATGGTGTGTGTGTGTGTTGGCAGAATCTCTAGATCAGCCGCCGACTTACAATGACGCCGGCCCGCCTCGCGTCGCCATGCAGGCCCCAGGGCAACCACTGCACGATCACCGAATGTGCATCCCGTTGGACCAACTGCGCGACGTGCCTGGCCCTATTCAGTGCCCGTACTGCGGGTTTCAAGGCGTGACCAGAGTCGAGCACGTCGCCGGTCGGCGGACCCGGTAAAGTTTCCCACCGACAATTTTGCTGGCACCTGTCGATTTTTGAGAAAGAAGATTGGGAAATATCTGACCTCCCAGTGCCGGACTAGACGATCAGCCGGACTCCTCTTCGCCGCCACGGTGGTCCTCGCCCCGGTCCCCTATCTCACCAACGGAACCAAGGACGTCCGCCACTTCTGCGCAAACTGTCGAGTGTGCGTCGCCGTCTGGCTGAACGAGAGAAACTCCCCGGGCCAGACACATGTCGTGGCACATCAGAACCGAGTGGGTGGGACATAGCGGCTCGGTCCGACGACCGCCGCGAGGTGTCTTTGGTGAAGGGGGAGGTCGCGAGCAGGTCGTCTTGAAAAAGCGGCACCGTGCTGTGCCAGGAGCGTGTCGAGAGCTCGGAGCACTTCGACTATTATTGCTTGTGCTGCCACCAAACCTTGGAAGTGAGGGACACAATGCTGTGCCTCAGTGCGGCGTCGAGTGGTGCGGATCAACCAAGGGACCCAAGTCACGATATGCGAACCCAGTAGCAATGGACGGTCACTCGTTCAACTTGTATGGGATTAGTAGTTCGGTACATCGACCAGTGGTTCTGAAGCTTCACACCGTAACGCGGGTTGTAACTCGAGGGCACTTTGACCCATCTCAAACTGGGATCGGGGTGGTATCTTGGTAGAGGCGCCGCAGGCAAGATCACAAGGTCACGGAGAGTACCAAATGGTGAACGAATATTTGACTCGCTTTAAATGAATGAATTCCGAACATGGTGTGTTGAGATAGCAACCCTCAGACAAAACACTTCCAGAACAACCTGTAGTAACACCCCTGCCGCCCATGACACCCGCCCTTGTCGTGTTTTCCTTCTGCCTTATTGTCTTCTGTGAAACCAGTGCAATCGTTCCCGTCGTATGCCATAGCGAAGCAGCACACCTTGGGTATATCTCGTACAATCTTGTGGATATTCTTTGCAAAGAACCACGCTGCCCCAATAACACTACTCGTACCTGGGTGGCGGTACATTGTAGTAGTTAGCTATGCTCTCGGGTCGCTGGATGCCTGTCGCGCTGTTCGAGTCGCTGTCCCAGCGCGTGGCCGGAGGCCTCTCGTCGTTGCCCAACAAAGTCTGGTTCTGATCAGCCGTTGCCTCGTAACCGGGACTGTTGTAGTATGGGTGTTCTTTGTGCTTTGGCGGGTCTTGGGTAGAACCATTGTCTAGGCCGGGATCTTCTTCAGACGGATCTTCTCCCTCGTTATTTCCTTCGGCTTTGGCGCGTCGTGCACGCCTCCGTATCATAATACGGAGGCCAATTCCAACGAGGGTTAGGAGGAGACTGATACTGCTGAGAACAATGATGACTATTCGCCACGCTTTGCTCTTCTTGTGGTCGCCATCGTTGACGATCACGAGACGGGTTTTTCTTGCAACGAGATCCATTGCGCGAATATGGACGGTGGACATGAATTGGACAACAAGAATGCTGGCTCGAGAGGGACGGGCAGGGCGCTAACCCCCGTACAATTGATTGGTGACCTAGTTGTCGTGAAACTCGATTTCTTATGATGGCAACAGATGTAACTTGTTCAACTTCGGACAACGCCAAACCTCAACCGCCTGGCAACCGTTGGAAAAAGTGACTTGTAGCGCAGCGAGACTCTCCGTTAGTGTACGCAACTGCGGACGTTCAAAAAGAGATCACGGGTGTAGATGGGAGAAGCAGCAAGGGGACAAGAATGATTATACGCAAGCAGAGCAGGGAGTGGGCGAGCGAAAAGAGATAAAGTACTCGGTACTGTTGTAGAAAGAAAGGACTCGACGTTCTAAATCACCATCCGGGAGCTGAAAAGACATAGTGGGATTCCAGAGGGGGGCTTCCTTTGCAATAGTAATACGAGGCATGGTCGAGCTGAACCTAGGGCCAAGATAGGGGCCCGCTATCGAGAGCAACATTGGGTATACGGGTAGGAAGAGAAGGTAGATCCAAATCCGCAGGAATTGCGCCAGCCTTGATTTGGGGGCTAGCGCAGGCGGCGCAAGGACGGATTGTGACTGGCAGGAATGCCAAGGACGTGTAATGACCGTCACGCTAGTCCTCGGCCGAAGGCCTTCGGACTAGCGCCGGTAGGGCCCTGTAAATTACTCGAAGGTATATAGTCAGACGGTCCCCAGGA